TTTTGTTTATCATAGTGTTTTTCAATCTAAATATTGTAATAATTCAAATTTACACAAAAATATTATTTTGATATTGACTTATTCCTTTTCAGTGTCAGTTTATGGAACATCTACACAAATAAAAACTTCTCAAATGATTCCTGACAATTTGTGATATTGAAAAAACTGATAAGAACTCTTGCATGACTTTTCTGGGATTCATAATTTGCAAAGTTATATGTGGCACCACCTATTATGAGATTTTATTAAAAAATAATTTTTATATTAAGTATTATAAAAAGGCAAAAGGTTTATTTTTGGGGTAGGAGTAAGTTTTTAAAGAAATTATAAATGCTAATAATGAGTGAAACTTTCATTAAATCTGTCCCTACTCAAGATATGATTCCCCTCTATTTCCCCATCCCCTTGACCTTTAACTACCAAGATTTAATATCATCAATGTGTCCCATATATAAAAATAATCCTGACAAGTTTCAAAATTTTTGGTTTATTCAGTCCTGAGATATAATACAAAACAGATGCCAACACATATACACCAAATATTTGTATATATATAAATTTTTTACATTATTTGGGGACCTGGAATGTCAAAAGATCAAGAAATGCAAAAACTGGGAAGTTAAAATTTAACTGATCACAATACTTTCTTTGAATTATATTCTATAATAGCTGGGAAAGTAAAAATAATATATTTGGTCTAGAAAATGCAATTTATAAATTTAACATTAATTTATAATTTTTTTGTAATTCATCTCATACACTGATTAAGATAGAGTCATTATGTTTAAATTTGTATGTATATACTATATATATTATGATGTATTTCTTCTTTTTTAATATAAATGATTTATATATATTTAAAAATTTACATAGTTTTTACTTTACAAAGAACAACAAATATTTCATAAACTATATGAATATTATTACATTATTTTACATAAATTAAATAGATTTAAAACTATATCATTATCAGCTGCAATATAAAAAGAGCATTCAGCAAATTATTTATCAAAGCAGAAGAAAGCTTTTGAAATAATGGAATCACAGTTCTCAATGCATTATGTACTAAAAGAATCATAAAAACAAACTATAAAAGCTTTCAATGTACTAACATTGCTCTTGGAAAACATTTACCTATCAAATCATAATATATTAACAGCAAGCAAAAAATGTAATAAAAATGTTTATAATTATACATTTAAAATATACAATTCTAACACTGAACTATTTGATTGCAACTTTATTGATAGCAAATTAAATATATTGAAAATGCTATTATTAACTTTAATTTAATTTGAATAAAAGGTATAATAGTACTAATTATATAAAACTGAACTTAAAATCATATCCATATTAACTTAAAAATTTATTAGAAATGTCACTATGTGTAGCAAAATGCTAATAGCATTTTTAAAAAAATAAATAAACAAATCAAATTTTGTTATCTATTTGTTTTACTCAATAAACAATATAAATTATATAATGTTTTATTTAATGCATTAGCTAAATTCAAAACTTTAGTGAATTCAATTAAAATATATAATTTGACTAAGTAGCTAAAATAATTTTTAATTTAAATATTAATTTTGTAATTTAATTATGTATTTTATAATGTAAATAATTAAAAATGCTTTGAATTTATCAATAATACAGAGATAAATGAAATACAGTAGACCCCCCTATAAAACAGATTCGTATAATACGAAAAAAGTACGATCGTATTCGTATAAACACGCTAAAAGAGACTACTCGTATAATACGGTTAAACGTCATCGCCGACTCGTGTGGCGACAGGATTGGTCGAATCTAGACCAATAGCGGATATCGCACAAACCGTTGAGTTTAAACGAGCAGCGGACCTACT